AAGAATCGTGGTATGACATTAAGAACATCATACAGGAAGAAAGCAAAAAGGTCATTAGGAAACAAGAAAGAAGGAAAAGACCAAAATGGATGTCAGAAGAGACTCTGAGACATAATCTCCAGCATAGATGCTAACGCAAATGGAAGAAAGCAAGAGGTAAAAGACCTGAACAGAAACTTTCAAAGGGCAGCTCGAGAATATGAAGTCAAATATTACAATGAAATGTGCAAAGACCTGGAGTTAAAAACCCAAAAGGGAAGAACAAGCTCAGCATTTCTCAGCTGAGGGAACTGAAGAAAAAAAATTAATATTTAATTTACAATATTGGAGGAGTCTATTGGCAAATATTGAATGCTGCAGAAAGCATCAAAAGAAGGTAGAAGGAATACACAGAATCACATAGCAAAAAAAAAAAAAAGGTTGCTGTTCAACCATTTCAAGAGGTAGCATATGATCAAGGGGCAATGACACTGAAGGAAGAAGTCCAAGGTGCATTGAAGGCATTGGCAAAGAACAAGGTACAAGGAATCGATGGAATATAAATGGAGGCTCTCCTTCAACTATGCCAAGAAATTTAGAAGACAACTACCTGGCCAATTGACTGGAAGAGGCCCATACTTGTGCCCATTCCAAAGAGAGATGACCCAACGGAATGCGGAAATCATCAATCTCTTTGATATCCCATGTGAGTAAAGTTTTACTAAAGGTAATATAGAAACAGCTGCAAGCATACATTGACAGAGAACTTCCAGAGGTTCAAGCTGGATTCAGAAGAGGACATGGAATGAGGGATATCATTGCTGTTGTCCAATGGATCTTGACTTAAAGCAGAAAATACCAGAAAAATGTTTTCCTGTGCTTTATTAACTACACAAAGCCTTTTGACAAGGATCATCACAAGGAAGGGACAACACTGTGGAGGATGAGTAATCCAGAATACTTAATTGTGCTCAAGAGGAACCTGTACATAGACCAAGAAGCAGTTGTTCAAGCAGAACAAGGTAACACCGAATGGCTTAAAATTAGGAAAGGTGTGTGCAAGGTTGTATTCTTTTGCCAGTAATTATCAATACATCTCGATTGCACAGTTGATCAATTTCAGACTGGCGAAGTTTGGTAGAATTCTTCAATTTCATCATAACATTTAGTGGTTGGTGCCTAAACTTGAACAACAGTGGTATTAACTGGACTTCCTTGTAGGTCTATGGATATTATCCTATCACAGACAGCATTGTACTTCAAGGCCGATCTTGCTATGTTCTTTTTGATGGTGACTGTGACACCATTCCTCTTCAATTTGTCATTGCAGGCACAGTAAACCATGTGCTTGTCAGATTCAAAATTTCCAATACCAGTCAATTTTAGCTCACTAATGCCTAGGATATCGATGTTTATGCATTCCATTTCATTATTGACAATTTCCAATTTTGCTAGTGTCATACTTCATACATCCCATGTTCCAATTATTAATAGACATTTACAGCTGTTTCCCTTCATTGTGAGTTGTGCCCCATCAGCAAATGAAGGTCTCATTCCCATTATCATAGTCAAATCTACATTGAGAAGCTCTTCCCCAGTCACATTTTGAGTGCCTTCCAGCCTAAGAGGCACATCTTCCAGCACTCCATCTGACACCATACTGGTGTTCTTCATCATGTTTTAATATTTAATACTTTGTAGCTGACTGTGTTCCAATACTATTCAATACAGTTTTCAGTGACTAAATATTAGGAAGTAGTCTGTCTCTCCTTCCTATTCTGTCTTTGTCTGGAAGCTCATCTGAAACCTGTCTACCATGGGTGAACATGCTGGTATTTTAAATACCCGTGGCATAGCTTCCAGAATCACAGCAACACGCAATCCACCACAGTACAACAAACTGGCATACGGTTAGTGGACAAAATTTACATGTTTAACTAAATAGAGAGAAAGAGTCTTACATAATCCAGCACTCTTTAATGATAAAAACACTCAACAAATTAGGAAAAGAAGTAATTTCTGGTGGGCATTATAGGATTAGCACTGTACAGTTAACCACAAGATTGCAGTTCAAATCCACCAACTGCTCCTTGAAAACCCTATATAGGGTCACTATGAGTTGGAACCCAATTGGCAGCACTTAAGAACAACAACCACCTCATAACAGGCTTCTATGGAAAAATCCACATCTAGCAACATAGTTAATGGTGAAAGATTTGTTTATCTCTAAGACCAGCAACAAGATAAGAACGTATGCTTTGTAACGTCTGTTCAACATTATACTCAAGAGTAGCCAGGACAACTAAGAAAAGGAGATCAAAGCCATCCATGTTAGAAAGAAAGAAGTGAAATCATTTTCATTCACAGATGACATGAACCTTATAAAGAATACACACAAAACAACAACAAACAACAAACGAGTAATTGAGTTCAATAAGGTTTCAGGATACAAGATCAATATATAAAACAGTATGTTTCTATATGTAGCACTGTAAGATCAGCAATGGACTGTGAACCACACGGTCAGCAGTTCAAACCCACCAGCTGCTTCTTGGAAACCGTGTGGATGGAATTTTACGACAGATTAACTAGGAACCTTTCTGCTGTAGTGGATTACGTGTTGGACTGTAAACTGCACGGTCTTTGGTAGGAGTTCACCAATCACTCCCGGGGAGAAAGATGAAGCTTTCTGTTCTTTTATACAAGGTTGCTATGAGTTGGCACTGACTTGACAGCACATAACAACAAAATAACTAGTAAAACCAAACAAAACCTGTAGTATAGTTAATAGTTTTGTACCACTTAATTTTTATTTAGTTTAGCTTTGATCATTATATAAGATGATAACATTAGAGGAAACTGGGTGGAGGTTATGTATGAGTTGTATGAACTTTGCAACTCATATAAATTTAAAATTATTTTTAAACTAAATTTAAAAACACACAACTATATAATGTTCTGGTGTGGCTCTACAGGATAAGCATGGGACTACTAACCAAAAGGCAAACCCATCAGTTGCTCCTCGGAAACTCTATACAGGGCTGTTATGAGTCAGAACTGTCTCCATGGCACTTAAAAACAACACATTAGCTCCTCAACTGGCTTCTGGGAGTCCTGGTGTGGCACTGTAGGATAAGCACTGGATTGCTAACCGCAAGATCATGATTCAAAACCACCAGTCGCCCCTCAGAAACCCTATACAGGGTCGCTATGAGTCTGATCAATGGCACTTAACAACTGACTTCTAAGACCTGATGTGGTGCTGTAGGACAAGCACTGGACTGGTAACCTCAGTGTCAGCAGTTCAAACCCACCAAACACTCTCAAAAACCCTGCATTAGGTCGTTAAGAATCGGAACTGACTCTACCGGACCCAGCTGACTTCTAGTACAGATATAGAAGCTGGGCTTTGTAGAAAAGCATGACCTGTCAGGGGGAAAGGTCTTGCTGTGGACTCTGCTACTCGCAATCTTGGTCTTTCCAAGGTAAATGATTTACACTCTTAGCCTCAAACCTCTCCTCTTAAAAACAAGGTTGACTTGATGTATTTTGTAAGAGTGTAAGGATTATAGATGCTTTTCCTTCTGAAGCATAAATCATAGGATACCTAAAAGGAATTTCAACTCTTCCCACTTCCTTTCCCAAAGTGACTAAATTAGTGATTACATTCAATTGAAACTCAGCAGACAATTATCCAACACTGAGAAATTATGCAGTAATTTATGAATTTGTTGTTGTTGTTGTTAAGTGCCATCGAATCGGTTCTGACCCATAGAGACCCTGTATAGGGTTTCCGAGGAGCAGCTGAATAGCTTGAACCGCCAACTTGGAGGTTCAGACCGACTTTGCGTTTCAGCGCATTAACCCACAGTGCAACACCAGGACTCCGATTTATAAGATGATAGCAATAATAATTTATTCATTTATGAATTCCTTCCTTACCAAAAGCTTTGCATTAAAACACAGTGGGAAGAAAGGGCAAAGGAAACGGAAACAGAGTGCAAGCATCCTTACAACTTTAAAATCTCAAAGACAGAATTGTTGTTGAATGTTGTCGAGTCGCTTCCCACCCATAGCAACCTTGTATAGGGTTTCTGAGGAGCAGCTGGTGAGTTTGAACCGCCAACCGCAAACAGCTTTGCAGTCTGGCGCATTAACTCATAGCGCCACACCAGGACTCCAAAGACATAATAGAAATGAAAAAAGAAAAAGAGGGAAAAAAAAAAAAAATGACTAGAAAGCCCACTAAGGTCCGTACTGTGTCCGCTTTAGTTTGCAGGAGCAGTCTGAGCATCGCTACTGTTTTTTCACCATGGTTTTAATCGTGAATAAATGAGGCACTGGATTCGAATGATTTCTTCTGTCTAAGCAACCTAGACTTGATGCGTTCTCAAACATGGAAGAGCTCGAGTATCTCATAAACCGCTTTTGACTACAACCTCCCCAAGAGCAAAGTAATCCTCTCTCCAATCTTCCTTCCTACTCCTTTCTCTCTTCTCGACCTCGCTCATCTTTCCTACCCTTCTGTTTTTCCCACTTTGGGGTTTTCAATTGCTGAGCACTAGCAGTCACAAGCCCAACACAAACCTTTCGTTCCTTACTGGAAAGACCCGAGCCTCAAAAGAGGTGACAATCAGCGGAGACCAACGAGTGCGGTGGATCCCTCCACTTCCTTCCTCACCCCGGACAGACACTACTAGGCGCGGGACTGTCGGCGCCCAGGTTCCCCTAGTTACTGAGGTCCGTGTAGCGGCCGGTGCCCAGTGCCACATTGGGAACAACCTATCCACTGTTCTGTAAAAGCGGGTGCCAGCCGCCTGCTGCGTCCGGGTGGCCCCGGGTGTTGGGGTCGGATCGGGTGACAGCGCGGGCGTGAGCTGGCTGCTGGGCCAGCCTCCAGCCTCAACCTGGACCCGCCCCGAACCGCGGCCCCGCCCCACCGCTGGCTGCCGGGGCGCTGATCCCCAGGCAGCAGCTCTAACCCAAACTGAACGCAGCTCGCACTGGACCTCGTCGCGGCTAGCGCCCCCACTCGCGCCTCACTGGCGCCCTCTCCCCACGCTGCAGCCATGTGTCCCGGAGCCCTGCGAGCACCCGCACTGCAACTCCTGGCGCTGGGCGCGCTGCTGTGGCCCGCGGTCGGCGCCTGGAAGCTTACCATTCTGCACACAAACGATGTACACAGCCGACTGGAGCAGACCAACGAGGACTCCGGCAAATGCGTCAATGCCAGTCTCTGCGTGGGCGGTGTGGCGCGGCTTTTCACCAAACTGCAACAGATCCGAAACACCGAACCCAATGTGCTCTTGCTCGACGCCGGCGACCAGTACCAGGGCACCATCTGGTTCACCGTGTACAAAGGCGCGGAGGTGGCACACTTTATGAACGCCCTGTCCTACAATGCCATGGTAAGACAGCAGCTAGACTGGGCACGCTGCGTCCCGGTAGCCCGGAGCCCTAGCGATAGGAGTCCTGGGCGGAGAGAGAAGCCGTGGTAAAGGAGCGGTCGATGGCACGGGGTGGCAAGCCTAAGGCAAGGAGCCAGTACTTGTGGGAAATAAAGTTAGATGAACCTAAATGTACCAGGTGAATGTAGACGTAGAAGTTCCTTGGATGATTTATCTCAACTGTGCAGATGTTATTGGACTTCACTATATAATGGGTATTTAGAGGAATGGAATTTAGCCCTTCTACAAGGGGACTCAACTGGGGTAAATAAGAAAATTGTCAATTATTGAGAGCCAGAAATTGAGCTAGAACTGTTAGTCATCTATCATTTATTGCGTAAAATGTTTTATGTTAATTTTTTTTAAAGGAAATTGAGTGTCAAAGAAGTTGAGCGATGTCACCAAACTCAGAAAGATGGAGTCTCGAAACTCACAGCCATTGGGCAGGTTCCTGGCTCAGCTGCCTTCTTGTTTTGCAACCTTGAACAAGTTGTTTACTGTTTCTGTGCCTGAGTTCCAATCGCTATAAAACCAGGATTACTACATGTAGGAGTTCTGGTGACATACTAGATTTTGGTCTGCTAACCACAAGATCTTGTAGTTTGAGCCCACTAGCCGCTTGTGGAAGAAGAATGAGGCTTTCTCTTCCTGTAAAGCTTTACAGCCTTGGAAACTTTATTATATAGAGTTGTTATGAGTCAGAACCACCACCCCTACCTCAAAGAGTTGAGAGGCCACAACTGACCTTTGTAAACGTTATTTCTTGGTATTATCAGATGACACTAGTACAGTGTGGTGCTGTAGGATCAGTACTGGACTGCTAACTGCAAGGTCGGTGCTTTAATCCCATCAGGCTCTCCTCAGAAACACGGTGCAGGGTCACTGTGAATGGGAACTGATTCCACTGGCTCTTAACAACAGCAGAAATTTATTTTATTTAAAAAAAAAAACAAAAAAAAACAGAGACAGAGATTGGGGAGGACAATCTACTTTGGAGAGAGCCAAAGTGCTTCACTGGGACTTCAAAGGATTTCAGTAAAAATCAGTTTGGCAGCAAAACTTTAGATAGAGATTCCAGCTTGACCCATAAAGGTCTTTAAACATGTGCGAGCAAGAATTTAGTTTAAGCTCCGAACGGCTCTGTTAAAACGATCCCTTGTTTGCTAAACTGAATTCTAGAAAAATAAGAGAGAAGGGCTACAGAATGATAAACAAATATGACTGAAAATATACATGGCATTTAAAAAAAAAAAATCAAACCACCTAAAGTTAATCCTATATACAAGCCCAATAAAGGAAAACCTGGATGGTGAGAACAGTTAATGCCCTCAGCTGCTAATGGGAAAGTTGGAGGTTTAAATTTACCCAGAGGTGATTTGGAAGAAACTCCTAGCAATCTACTTCTGAAAAATAAACCAGTGCAAATCATATTAAGTACAGTTCTACTCTGGCACACATGGAGTTGCCACATGAATCAGTATGTACTTGACCATCTGGTTGGTTAGTTCTTTTTTTAAAAAAACGGGAATTAGTAAAACTGTCTAGAATTTGGGGCAAGATATCTTACGAGCTTTAGTCAATGAATTTATCTGGGGACCCACCCAACATTTAGGCTCCACAGAAGACTGGTGGGCTTCAAGACCACATTGGCATCACCATAGGAAGACCTACCTGGTGTTTGCACATACTAATGACAATGTAAATATCTGTAGAAGTGAATTGTTACTAATCTACATCTCCATTTCCTGCCAGAGGATAAACTGAACCTCACCAGAGTTTGTTTGGATTTCACATATAAGCCACAACTTTCTAAACTTTTCTTTTTGTGACATCCTTTTCTTTTTGTAAGCCTTAGGTGAAAATAAAATTGAGAATTCCCTAGCTCCCCAGAAGAGTATTTTCCTCTTTAAGTGAAATTGATCTCATGGTGTTGATCATTATATTAAGTGTTTCTGGCAGGACTTCTGGGTGAGGCTGGGACAATCTGCTAAGTCACAGCCCAACAGGACTGAGAATGTTTAGAATATTAGTTAAATGAATTACTTACTTATAAGTGTTGTTCAAAATAATTGGACTAGAGCCTAAGGAAAAAAATAGGCTGCTTATAAAATGTTGGCAGGAGATAAGAAGGAGTAGATAACATGATGAGGTTGATGGCGGTATTCCTGATGTTGTTAAGTGCCGTGGAGTCAGTTCCAATTTATAGTGACCCTGTATAGGATTTCCCAGGAGCTACTGGTGGATTTGAACCCCTGATCAGGATTTATTCTGTGCATTGTTTGGGATTTGGCAAACATGCCTTGACCTGTGTAAAATCCTAGTCCTTGTAGTGTTAAAGCTCTGGTAGCGTAGTGGTTACGAATCGGGCTGTAAACCGCAAGGTCAGCAGTTCGAAACTACCAGCCGCTCCGCGGGAGAAAGATGAGGCTTTCTACTCCCGTAAAGATTTACACCCTCGGAAAC